GGATACCTGCAAACAGGTCATACACCCGCGGATGAACAGCAACTATACATCGTCTGTCATCAGTTTAAAAGACTGATATACATGTTTTACGGGAACAACAACAACAACAACATCATGATAACACTCATACGGGGTGCAAGGCTCCAAGTTCTCTAAACTAAACCATCACCTCCGGGGGAGCCTCTCCTTGCGATTCCTCGAAACCGTTCTCCTCCCTCAGATGCTCTTCCAGCATCTGGTCGAACGACAGGATCTCCTCCATTGGCTCACTGAGTACCATGCGAAGTCCACGTCAGAACCCCTTCTGGAGTACACCTAACCGCAACCTTCTTCGGAGCCACGACCAGCGCGAGCGCAATGGCAGCTTCACACGATAGCGTGGCACTCGACAAGGAACACGAGGCTTTCACTCTAGCCCTCACCTTAATCACTGTTCTCTCCTCTCCTGGTACTATCGGGACGCGAACGCGGTGCTCTACGAACGAAGCCAAGGAAGACGGCGAAGACTACGAAAGATCTGACATCGTGTTGTGACCACGGTAGGTCCCCGAAGTACGCTATCGCCGGAAGCGTCAGCTTACTCCAGTGATCTACCGTGAGGCCTCATTCAGGGAGGCCTAAGGCTGAGAACCATTTCACTCTTATAGTCGGTCCTTCGCAGCATCTCATACAGTTTCCTTCCATACGCCGCCCCATAGGCTCCCTTTTAAAACCTCAAACAGACCCACGTATCAATTTCGCCCGGGCCCCTGATGTCGTATCTGTGCACAGACTCTTTACCCTCCCCCCCTTTTTTTTAAGAAAAGCTCCCACCTCCCTATATATATACAAAAAAATAATAACACCCCCTTACTACGGATATTCCCTCAGTACCCCCATCTCAAACCATACAGACTCAACTACTCAATGGGCAACTCATTATTCTACTCATTCACTTAAAAATTGTAAACACACATATTATATTTTCATATTTATACCTCCCAACTCTCATTAATATTATTATTTAAAAAAAAAAAATCTTTATTTATTATTTTCTTTTCTTTATATATATATATCGTCACAAATAGATATATATATATATGCATTCATACACACACACTCTCCCTCCTTTATCCTTGACCAGCCGAATGTTCGTATATGCGTATGTGTGTGTGTGTGTGTGTGTGTGTGTGTGTGTGTAAGAGAGAGAGAGAGAGAGAGAGAGAGAGAGAGAGAGAGAGAGAGAGAGAGAGAGAGAGAGCGGCAACAGGTAAATCTCGAAGGCCGCGGCTGGCCTCGTGCAACTTCCATTGAAAGGGGAGAGAGAGAGAGAGAGAGAGAGAGAG